TAATGACTGTTTTGTTGATCAAGTGGTAAATAGTTTCTAAGTAGCTGCTTTGAGTTCGAAATAGACAAAGTACTATTGGATTTTTGATGCTTGGAAACTGGAACCGAACCACACATACAGTCAAGTGGCGCAGTGGCTGGGTGTTGCGTAACGTGTTGCGGGTTCGATTCCCGCACAGTTCAGTCTTTTGTGTGATCCACAAATTGTCTGGTTTGGGTGTCATGTATTTGTTGATTTGTACATTTCTAAACGCATTCAGAATATACAGAAAATTCTAATCTAAAGCAACTTCAAAAATGTCATTATCAACCTTATTTCTTTAATAATAAAGCCTATATAATAAATATGTACCCATTCTTTTCCAGGTCAAAACGCCCTATTCCTGTACATAGGCAGTGAACTCCTAAAACGTCATTTCCCCCTCTACTGGGCACTTATAGCACCGACGCATGCGCAACTACTGGCTACCCATGCCGCCGCCATGTTGATTTGGCTGGCTGTCGGCGTAGCATTGCATAGGAAACGCATCTTTATCACTTTGTAATAACGCCTGTTTTATTTTGAATAGGAATGATGACGGGGTATGGAAATTAAAAACCTATTTAGTCTGTCAGTTAGATTATGAAAAAATATTAGACACGTATTTTTTTATTTATCGTATAAGAAAGAAATGCTTAGATAAAACGAATCAAAGTTTAGGAGTGGGAGCTAGCTACGTCATTTTTATGTGTACTTAAAATTTTCATAGGAATGACGTCACGCGATATTTCAAACTAGCTTCTGCCCGCGACTTCGTACGCGCAATCCCGTTTTCTCCCGTTCCCGTAGGATTTTCAGGAATTTTTTCTGTCATAAGAACTTTCTCCTGACAATAATAAACACAACAAAAAAAATCAGCCAAATTGGTCTAGGCGTTCTCAAGTTATGGCGTGACAACGGGAAACGGGTTTCATTTTTAGATATTATTATGTAGATCAATATTTTGTCGAAAGTATTTATTTCCGTAAGAAAATAAATAATACGTGTCGAATGTTTTTATATAATCTACCAGACGGACATTAAAATAAAGTTAAGGAAACTACCCTATTGATTGATTTGGTTGATCTTTGTCACCTTGTAATAACGCCTGTTTTACTTTGAATTGTTTTGGCTAGCCGTCGACGTAGCATTGCATAGGAAACTGATCTTTATCGCCTTGTAATAACCGTCATTTTGGCTTAAAGGTAATGATTTTTTTTAGTTTGATGGTGGATGGCGTTCGTGGTTATATTTTTTTTACTTTTTTTGGTGCTACAATGAATTTTCGACTTTAAAGCAAAAGTATAAGATTGAAAATCACATCTTCATTAAACCAACTTACCTTAAAAGTTGATCTAAATATAACCACGAATTTCGGAAGACATTCGAATGATAAGATTTTCGCGCTCGACAGATGTCGCTGGCGTAGATTAAAGTCATCTTGGTGCAATCACTAACAAAAGTTGACTATAATAAACTTGACATTGGCTGATACACCAAGAGATCTAATACTACACCAGCGCCTCTGTACAAGACTAATGTAACTAAATTTTGTAAAAAAAGTGTTGAACGCCAAAATAATGAGTTCTAAAGAAATATTAGTCTTTAGAATATTCTTATTTTAGTCAAAAATTATTTTCATATAAAGAAAGTATATGACGCTGGATTTTAATCCTTATTGCCGTCGGTATAGAGTGTATATTCAAGCAATAAACGCTTGCCTTAGTTGGAGAAAGACAAATAATAAAGCGAATAAGTAGAAAAAGTTAAATAATTTTGCTCAAAAATTACGAAGGAATTGGAAAGTAGAAAATAAAATATGTTTCTTGTTGACACGATTTAACATCACGTAAAGCCCGTGATATACTGAGGCCTTAGTACGAGTTTAATTTACGTTTAAAGTTCGAAACGAGACCGCGTTCTGCACTATAATTGGCCGGCTCCTATGAACCAACCAATCAGAGCGTCGAACGCCTACTCGTTTCTATTACAAACGTAAAACAAACTCGTACTCGCCTCTGGTCTATGACCCTCCTCTACATAAAGTCTTTGCCATATTCCTCACGCTTGTCATAGAGGTTCAAGATGATAGTTTAAAAGGTTCAGATTTATCAAAGAGCGCTGCTGCCCGGTTCCTTGTCAAATGTGTAGTCAATTAGTCGGGTATTTAACACACGCGGGAAGGGTAGAGGTGATGACAAAATGTGTTCTACTCTGACGTCACACGTCATACTTGTTATCAGCAACCGTTGACAATTGTCATTACCCTTTTGAACGCCACGGTGAAACGAAATATGACGTGATCCGTCATATTCGGCCACAGTCGACAAGAAAACATGATTTGTAAGTATGTACATTTAGTTTGTCCGCGGCGGTCAAAAGAGTGTCTTGATTAAAGGTCACAGAGCCGTCGGTTACCGTTGCGTCGAGCGGGACGTCTCTCTATGGCGTCGTCCGTAATATCTACTACATTACAACTGCTCTTCGTCGCGTCGCCGCCGCGCCCTCTGTGTGCAGAAACCTTAAAACTATATGCGAACGCTCGAATCGTGTCAATAAAGCAATAATTCATTCAATCATTCCTTCATTCATTCTTTTAACATTTCATTCAATCGGTAAATATCGAGAGAGATATTTAAGAAGAGCAATAAAAAACGTTTTTGTTTTATTTTCTTCTTGCATTATTTTAACCACGAATTGTATAAAATGTATAATTATTCATTAAAATATAGGTTAGTCATGTAATCGAACCTTTTTTAAAATAAAGAAGCCAGGTTTATATGTTTTTGTTTCATCGCGATTCAGGTCGGATTGCCATTTTGAGTTCTTGTTTTTTTTTTGTTGCTGGTCATACAATCTTTTGCACTTTAATTTTGTTGTAATTTGGAATTGTGTTTGTAGATATATATTGTCGGTTAAAGTATTATTAGGCGTTTGTATTCGGTAATAATAAGGAGTGAAGCAGCGTATGGCAATGCGCTTGTTCCTTATTGGCTACAAACCAAGTATACAAAACCAGTATACACTGACCGCTGAATATGAGCAAAGATCGTACGAATCGAGTTCATTATATACTGGTTTACCGTATCTACTATTACCGCATAGATACTCCTTCGACATATAAAAAATCTGACGTTATGTTTTTAATAAATTAATATGGCAATCTCATCAGAATCTCGCATTTCTTTTTTCTATTTATAATAATCAGTTTTAGTTAACGTTTTTAGTATTCCATCATTTGTTAGACAAAGTATCTATGTAATATCTATGACTTATTAACGACCATTTAGATTGTCTGACTGTCTGTAGATTTGCTTATTAACTTGTTCATGCAAGAATAGCTAATAAAGTCTATAACGGAGTGGGTAAGAGGTAAATATGATCAGCGAAAGAAAAAATTTTGACAGAAGCGCTTTCAAAATTCTATGTTTAGTAAGTAAATCTATCTAAAGGTTATTTGTATATGGTCTTTATAGTTTTGGCCATTATAGAAAGACATGTCATACTAAATGGTTAATATATTTTGATATGTACTGTAGTGGAGATATATTTTAATGTATTAAAAAGAGTAAGTAAATTATTGGGATTGTTTTAATTCATTTAAGCAAGTTTTCGAGCAATAACTAAACGTTTTTTGAGTTTTAGAGCGTCTTTTGAGCAAGGAGTTAGGTCTATAATATTTAATTATTATTAATGAAGTTGTCTCACTTCTAAAATAATTATAATAGTTCGAAAAATACACACGTAGGTACAGATTAAACATCTCATTTTAAAATCGGATAAAAAACAATGTCACATTCCCTGTTCTTTACTTTCGCCTTTTAACAAAAATGATCAGTTTTATATCTAGGTACTAGTTCAACGATATTATAACATAGTTATACTTACTTAACATATTTTATGTAAAAAGCTTGACAAATACATCAAGTAACTAAATCACTGACAAAGCGTAACTTTAGTTCTGTAATTATAAAGTTCAAATTTTATTACCACATTCCGTTTCTAAGGACTCAAACAATAAAGTACTTTAATATAATTGGAAAAGAGTTGAATTTTAAATATATAGCATTTCTCTAGTACTAGTGGGTTTAATGGATTTAAGGTAACGTAAAATTGAGTTGAACAAATACAAGATTATGTTATTGTCAAGTTTTTCAAAGATTATATCTTCATGTGATTGTAATAAAAAAGTTAAGTTTAATTCTTGTTTTATTTGTTGCAACACCGATAGTTATTTGTGCTGGTATCTTTGGAAACTCTTCAAGTTGATTTTGATGGTATACTCAAGATGCAGCTGATAGGTTGATTAAACTATGTCAAATGTGAACTTGGAGAGTATCTTAGGCAAACACCTGATAAGCGGATTCTAGTTTGTGAGTTTATTTATCGGGGTGCTGGCTAAGGAGCCTAACTTTTATACCTCTGCGGATTCGGTCTGTTTTTTTAGGGGGGAAAATCATCGAATGACTGCTCCCACCTGGGTGAGGCGGTAGGGAGTGTCAGACTCTTACTGACTAAAAATCACCCCGTTCCTTCTCCTGCATGTCGAGCCGGAGCCCCGGTAATCCGTTAGGTTCTCCGCGACATTGGTCGACACGACAGGCATAGCCAATGCCTTGTACGTAACAAAATTACTATCAGACTATGAGTTTTTCGTGTACCGACTTAAGGGCATGCGTCTTCTTACAAGTAATTGAAGTGAATATTACTAAAATGATATAGGTTTTTCCTAGTTAAGCATTAAAAGATCAACAAATCTTGCAAGTCCAAAGGCACTGAGATGACTGTCATTAAATACAATTTTACAGCATCTTTTTGCAACCTTATATATTTGTATCTTAATTAATTACACTCAATCTATAAATAAATGATAACAGACCTGTTTCTTTTACTTATCGAAAATAAAATTGTAAACTTAAATATTTTAACAAGTAAAAATAAAACGCGAATAACCTTCAGATATCATTGAAATGTCAAAGAGACATTTGTTATCAAGAATAATACAGTTAGTTGGCCGCGGCTCGCGAAATACCTGTTTAACTTCTATTAGAATCATGGAACCCAAAGTTAACTTGAAACAGGACCCAGCTTTCGTAGAAATACAGAAATTCTACGATGCCAATGCCGACAAAATCAACATACAACAACTTTTCAAAGAAGATGCCGATCGCTTCAATAAATTCAGGTTTGTGCACTTTTACTTACTTTTCTATCTCATATATGAATTAAAACGTGTCGGTTTTTGTTCTGTTTGTTAGTTTTGTTATTATTGCATCGAATTAAGCTGTGTTTGTAATAATTTCGTTAAGTTATATCACCGATTTAGTAAATGTTATTGAAAGGTCGCGCATGCACAAACAAATGTCAGATTTTTTTTTATTTAGATGCGATAGCGGTGACCCATGACTTTGAATCAAAGAGTATAATAAGTATAGGGGAACTTTGAATTAAAAGTAATTTGTTTTCCTAGAGTAACATCTTAAATTAATTTATATGTTAATAATTGCAATAAATTAATATATCTGATTTTATGCTTTTTATCTATTTTATTTTTTCAAATACTTAATTGTAATATGCTATAATTAGCACATATAGGGTACTTAAGTACCTATAATTACAATGAGGTCATTATTACTATTTTATGTATATGGATATACAATGGTGATAATCACTTCTGTGAAATCTTATTATTTTTATTCAAAACTAGCTTCTGGCTGCGACGCAATCCCGTTTTCTCTTATTCCCATAGGATTTTCAGGACTTTTTTATGTCATTCGCGTTGCCTTTGCCTAACAATATTACACAACAAAAAAAATCAGCTAAATCGGTCTAGCCATTCTCAATTTATGGCATGACACCGAGAAACGGATTTCATTTTTATACATATTGGTATTTTGAATATATATAATTAGATTTGACTAGAATAAATTAATGCAAGAATAATGTAATTGTTTACATAATTTGTTATTTCTTTTATTTTATGATATGTTAATAATATTGAAATCTTAAAATAACCAATAAATATCTGACATTTCCCAATACTTATTAGAATATTTAACATACTTTATGACCATTTTTAGTCTTCGCATCCCCACTCCGAATGACGGAGATATCTTGCTGGACTACTCCAAGAACCGCATCAATGAGCAGGTGTGGAGTCTACTGCTGAACCTGGCCAAAAGCAGGAATGTGGAGAAAGCCAGAGATGCTATGTTCTCAGGTTTGTTACAAACATACAATTTAGAATGTGTCTAGAAACATTTTATTTCAACACTAACTGTTACCATGCCAGTTTCACTCACTCTGCTCAGCTTCCGTTGATTGTAGCTGTTTGGACATGATTGAGTAACAAACATATCATCATAATAAACATAACATCACGCCTTTTTATCCCCGAAGGTGTAGGCAGAGATGCGCATTACGGCACTTAATGCCACTGTACAATGTAACACCCACTTTTCACTATTTATATTATGAGTCCCATGTAATAGGGGGTGAGCCTATTGCCATATACCGGGCACATTTCTATCATATCCGTTCAGGTATTAACTCGTCGAGTACCGGTTTTGTAGACACAATTATAGAACAATAGGTTGCGGTCACCAGTGACCGCTTGGTGTTTGACAGTTTAAAAGGAGACTTTAAGTTATGTTTAGTTTAGTTCTAACATCTTTTATCAATTCGCCCACTTATGTACCTATTGCCAAGTACTGTTAAATATTTATCATTTTATCTAACACTTTACTATCTTAGTGATTGACACTGATTGTGTAACAACTTATATTATCTGTGTCCCGGTAATGTGTTTATAATCTATGCTCTAAGCTAATATTATAAATGCGCTTATTCTACTTATATTTATTTACAAACTGAGCAAGTTAAATAAAACGTTTAATAAACCAAAATGGACGTGCAATAGGCTAGTAGACAGTGTATGAAAATTAAAAATGTAATTAGTCCTCCAGCTAGATAATGAAAAAATATTAGACACATATTTTTATTTTGTCCTATAAGAAAACAATACTTAGATTGTCGGCGCATTAGTATGGCTATCAACCATAGTGGCGGCGGAGCGCGGGACGGGGTTATAAAAACCCACGGCCGCGCGAGCACCGCGCTTCTTCATCCACACACGCCAACCATAGCATTCGGGCATTTCTTTGTATCGGTGCGAGCCGGTCTTGATTCTTTCTGAAAGTCCAATGCGGAACTTTCTGTAGATAAAGTTTAGTCGGTACACCTACAATTACATCAGATCGAAGTGCAGGAGTAGGAACGGGGTCGTTTTTAGTCAGTAAGAGTCTGACACTCCCTTCGGCCTCACCCAGGCGGGAGAATTTATTCGATGATTTCCCCCCTTAAAAAAACCTAGGTACAATTACATTAAAACATAAAACTTAGGTACAAAAGTTATTTAACTATTAATAAAATCGTATTTATCTCTAGAGTGACACTTTAACAAGTTCAGGATTCTTATTGGGTAGATATGTCATGAAAATCTTCGCAACTTCCCATATCAAGCAGAGCACGTACCTGGTGTTTTCACTTTCAGTGACGATTTTTCCGATCTTCATTTATTCGCGCTGTTGTTACGTCACGTTACCCTGTAAAATGTAATAAATCGTGACGTCACACTGATATTTCAAATCAACATATCGTCGAAAGCATTTAATTTTTTAAGAAAAGAAAAGAACTACGTGTCGAATGTTTTAAAATAATCTACCAGACGGACATTAAAATAAAATTTAGTATACTATATTAATATCCTATTGAAGATGTCGAAATAAAAACCGATAATCTTGGAATAAAACATAAAGTATTGTATTACCGGAGAAGTTAGGCAGAGATGCATGTATTAAAAGGCACACTCACATTAGGTCCACGGAACTTATCCCCGAAGGGGTAGGCATAGGTGCACATTATACCAATCTGTACAATGTAACACCCACTTTTCACTATTTATGTTATGAGTCCCATGTAATAGGGGTTGAGCCTATTGCCATATACCGGGCACATTTTCAGACTCCATGCTACTACTGAGATTTTTTTAAACCCAGTAATTCTTTGCTCGACCCGGGAATCGAACCTAAGACCCCTTGCCAGGCAGTCGCGCTTGCGACCACTCAGGCAACGAGGCAGAATCCGTATAATTGTTGACAATTTTCGAAAAACGAAAATAATGCGTAATAATATTTTGCCAGTCGGCCAACGAGTCTCCCTCCAATAGCAGGGTACTGAACTCGTACACATATGTACTTATGTCTAATGGGTCTGGTGACTAGGTGAGAAAATAAACTTCACGGAGGACCGTGCAGTGTTGCACATAGCTCTGCGCAACCGTCAGAACCGTCCCATCTTGGTGGGCGGCAAGGATGTCACGCCTGACGTCAACGCAGTCCTCGCTCACATGAAGGAGTTCTCCGGACAGGTCGTCAGTGGACAATGGAAGGGGTAATTATAAAAATATAATATCTATAAGAACATTTTTAGTGCTATCGTTGTTTTGCTCTCTGGGGCTTACTCTTAAATCCAATTCCGATCGATCGACATTGCTATTGTGATATTTCATTTCGTACTCTTGAGTTGGGAGATAGTTGAGAGATATTTAATGAACTAAATGGAACTGAGTTTAGCTTTATATTTCGTACTCAGGATGCTAATTTAACAGCTACGATAGGGGTTGTATAGTTTTGAGATTGAATAATTATTGAGATTAACTAAAAATTGCTGGTTACTCGTTTTTAGTTAATTTAGTATGTCCCACGATAGTTATTGAGATTTTATTGAATTGAAATTGCATTGACATTGAGATTGGTTTCAAGAGTAAGCATCCTGATGGCGTTTTTATAGCGTTAGGTTATCTCACTGCTGAAAAAAATCTCTCTTCTTCTTACACGGAGAAGGTATGTGCACTAATCAACACACTTATCTGATATACATAATTACGGTGGATTAGTGTTTTTTTACTTTAAAATTATAGGTATATTTTGCAACTACCTCTATTATTAGACGAGGAACGTTGCGCGACGTTTTGAGCTAGCACCGTACGTCCGTAGTGAGGTCAGCAAAGTTAGCAATCTTCTTGATAAACTTCAACTAAGTAATATTATAGCGAAACATACTTCGACATACTTCTCTTGTGTATCAAGCCTTATCTTGTGTATCAAGCCTGTTAAAATGAAAGAAATTATTATCACCCAGGTACACAGGCAAGCCGATCACAGATGTGATCAATATTGGTATCGGAGGGTCCGACCTGGGGCCGCTGATGGTCACCGAAGCTCTGAAACCTTACGCCAACCATCTAAAGGTAAAGAAATAATTCCTTTGCTATAATTATTATGGATATTTCTATATGTTTCTGACTTGTGAATCAAAACAAATATTCGGTCTAAAACGTCCGTGTGGCAAGTTATCCGAAAGTATTTAAAAGTTCCAAATGATATAATCCAGAATGGATTATACAATATATCTTATAGAAGTCGTCTGTCTAATTGTTCTTTCTTTCTTTCTTTTCGGGCATTAGGAGACTTGAATTTTATTTCAAAATGTCTTTTTTATGGCATAAGCCGGTAAACGAGCAGACGGATCACTTGATGGTAAGGAATCGATGCCGCCCATGGACACCCGAAACACCAGAGACGTTACAAGTGCGTTACCGGCCTTTTGGGGATTAGGAACTTGAGGACTGTTGGGTATTCAGGGATTGGAGAGACTGGGAAGGGGGGGGGGTGTAAATGGGTCTCCGGTAACTTTACTCAACGACGAAACACAACGCAAGCGTTGTTTCATGTTGGTTTTCTGTGAGGCCGTGTTATCACTCCAGTCGAGCCGGCCCATTCGTGCCGAAGCATGGCTCTCCCACACTTTGCTTATAGGTACATAACAACAAATATTTATTCTGAGACAAATTAAAGTCTTACCTACTCGGAAGACAAGTACCTTATCCTAATTCTCTTTACCAGGTCCACTTTGTCTCCAACATCGACGGCACCCATTTAGCCGAGGTGCTGAAGCGACTGAACCCTGAGACGGCGCTGTTCATCATCGCCTCCAAGACTTTCACCACTCAGGAGACCATCACCAACGCTACTTCAGCCAAGACTTGGTTCCTAGAGGCTGCTAAGGATGTAAGTGAAACTTGTTTGTAGGTCTTCAATAGTTTTCGATGTTTTTATTAGATTGGACGTTGATATAACGCAATAAAAAGTCTAGAATACTTCTTAAACTGTCAAACACCAAGCGGTCACCGGTGACCGCAACCTATTGTTCTATAATTGTGTCTACAAAACCGGTACTCGACGAGTTAAAAGTAAGTATTCAGATGGGTAGTTTCCAGGGTAAGAAATTTAAAAATCTAATTAGTCCGTCAGTTAGGTAATGCAAAAATATTAGACACGTATTTTTTTATTTTCTCGTATAAAGTTACAATACTTAGATAAAATGGAGTTAAGTTTAGGAGTGGGAGGTAGTTACGTCACAACGTCCTACATTTTGTAGCACGCTGTGACGTCACACGACGTTTCAAATTAATATATCGTCGAAAGCATTTAATTTTGTGAGAAAAGAAAAAAATACGTGTCTAAAGTTTTAAATTAATGTACCAAAAGGACATTAAAATAAAATTTAGGAAACTACCCTTTTGGGTAGTTCAAAAATAAACCAAAATACATTTTTCAATCTAACTAAATATTGAAAAATAATTACACTTTCATTCATTGATTTGACGATACATATACTTAATTACCGATTTATTCTGGAATATTTTTTTAGAAATAAGTATTTGACGCGAAAATATATTTTTTTATAATTATAATTATACGCGTTATAACTGCCTGCGACCACTCGGCCAACGAGGCAGTCGATTCAATCTATATATAAATGAGACCCGTTTCCCGTTGTCACGCCATAACTACATAGCTACATAGCCGTTCTGAAACGGCTAGACCGATTTGGCTGATTATTTTTTTGTTATGTTTGTTATTGTCAGGAGAAGGTTCCTATGGCAGAAAAAAATCCTGAAAATCCTACGGGAACGGGAGAAACGGGATTGCGCGTACGAAGTCGCGGGCAGAAGCTAGCAAAATATAAAAGTACGAATTATATTCGTGACTCATTCCTGATTTTGTTTCAGCCGTCAGCCGTAGCGAAGCACTTTGTAGCTCTATCAACAAATGCTGAGAAGGTGACCGCATTCGGGATTGATCCCAACAACATGTTCGGATTCTGGGACTGGGTGGGAGGCAGGTATGTATATGTATATATATATACACACTCTAATTTTTTATGGAATAAGCCGGTTAACGACCAGCAAGCAACGGATCACCTGATGGTAAGCAATCGGCGTCAGCGTCACCCATGGACACCTGGAAGGCTGGAACACCAGAGACGTTACAAGTGCGTTACCGGCCTTTTGGGGATTACGAATTTGAGCATTGTGGGGATTCGGGGATTGGGGACACTAGGGGGGGGGGGATTGGGTCTCCGATAACTTCACTCACAGGACGAAACACAACGCAAGCGTTGATTCACGTCGGTCTACTGTTCGGCCTGGTATCAGTCCGGTCGAGCCGGCCCATTCGTGCCGAAGCATGGCTCTTCCACAATTAAAATTAATTTACAGTTGTCAATCATCGCTACCATCATCATTGACGGCTTGTGTCAGTCCACAGCTGTACTATAGCCCTCATCTATACAGATAAATAAAATTGGAGTGTCTGTTATATTAAAATAACCGCTTTTTACAACATGCATATATGAGTAGTGAATTGTTGTGGTGGCCCGGAGGTTTAAGACGCCCGCTTCTCATGCATGAGGGTGCGGGTTCGAAACCTACCAACGGCCGCCCGAAAGTGACTTTCTCCGAGTTATATGTACTTTTTAAGATTATTCAGACACCACTGACAAACGGTGAAGGAAAACATCGTGAGGAAACCTCGGCTTATAATTTCTAATTATAACTTTGAAATCGCGAACCCGCATTGAGCAAGAGCGTGGTGATTAATGCTCAAACCTTCTCCGTGTGAGAAGAGGCTTTGCTCAGCAGTGGGCATTTATAGGCTGTTGATGATGATGATGGTAGGAGTAGTACTCAAAATCGTACTCCTTTTTCTCACTTCGTAGGTACTCACTCTGGTCAGCTATCGGTCTGTCTATCTCCCTCTACATCGGGTACGACAACTTTGAGAAGCTTCTAGAAGGAGCCAGCTTCATGGACCAACACTTTACCACTGCGCCGTTGGAGAAAAATGTAAGTTGTATTCTAATTTTATATTACTTTAAATACGGAAACATAGAGATATTGTATCAACTCCAAATATTTTGATATAAGAACTACAAAACTTAATATCACGCCTTTTATCCCCGATGAAGTAGGTAGTGGTGAAATTACGGTACTTAATGTAACACCCACTTTTCACTTTTTATGTTATGAGTCCCATGTATTTCTGTCTAGAATTGTGTCCGGTATAATTATGGCAATAGGCTCACCCCCTATTACATGGGACTCATAACATAAATAGTGAAGAGTGGGTGTTACTTGTACAGTAGCATTAAGTGCCGTAATGTACACTTCTGCCTACCCCTTCGGGGATAAAGGCGTGTTGTTATGTTATGTAACAAGGAGTGCGCCTATTGCCATATACCGAATGTTTGAAATGTTTTCTACCACATTAAGATCTTCTGTGTTGTGAGTACGTTAACAGACATATGCCATATGAATACTAACAACCTACTACTAAATAAGTCGCGCTTAAGTAATAGTTTTACTAGTCACTACAAATTAAGATATTTTTGTACCCATGTTGACCAGTGTTATTATGAATAAAAATTTTATTTATTATTTATTTTATTTGTAAAATGACAGAGATGGCACGATATTTAAGTACAACTTTAAATTTAGTAGTATTAAAGTATTCAGGCGATACAATTCGACACAGACACCCAGACCCGGAACAACAATATGTAGATAACATATAACATAAAGTACACGGTATAAAATAAACGAGTTATACTTTGGTATCGAACACATTACCTGTTGCGCGGCAGCCGGTTGGCCAGCCAATGTAGGTACGGTAAAGTCATAAAAAATCGAAGTCTTTGAAATGGTGTCAATAGTCCTCATTACATGTTTAATTGTTATTATTTAGGCGCCAGTGATCCTAGCGCTCCTCGGCGTGTGGTACTCGAACTTCTACGGCGCGGAGACACACGCGCTACTGCCCTACGACCAGTATTTACATAGGTAAGTTTCAGAGTCGATATTCCAATCATCACTTAACTTCCTAACATAACATAACATCACGCCTTTTATCCCCGAAGGGGTAGGCAGAAGTGCACAGAGAAGTAACACCCCCTTTTCACTATTAACGTTATGAGTCCCATGTAATAGGGGGTGAACCTATTGCCATATACCGGGCACAATTCCAGACTCCGTGCTACTACTGAGAATTTTTTAAAACCCAGTTTACTTTGCCCGACCCAGGAATCGAACCCGAGACCCCTTGCCCGGCAGTCGCACTTGCGACCACTCGGCCAAAGAGGCATAACTGGAGAATAAAATTAACATTTGACAGTTTTTAGTATGGAAGAATTGTTTTTTACAAACGTTGCCCCACACTACGATTATCTCCTGTGTCGTGGGTGCGTTTACAAACATACAAGTTCACATACACAATGACACCCAGACCCGAAACAACAATCTGTGGATCAAATCAATCGAACCCGCGACAAGTTGCGCGGAAGCCAGTTGCCCAGCCACTGCGCCAACCGTGCAGTTAAAAAATCGGCCCTAAAATATTACACATAACATCTAAACCCGAACAACTATACGAAAACGAATATTCCGAATAATTCCGATATAATCCGGTGATCGTGTCAAGTTTTTCTTTCATAGGACCGATCGTACCAACGCTAGATAAAGGGCATTGACTAAAATTGGTGCCTTTCTTTTTTCTGGCGGCATTCGATGATGTATGAAAAATGTTATCTAGAATGACATTACAAACGATTTTGTCTATGGGCTCATATATCAAAATCTCAGTCCAGACTGAGTAATGAGCTTTGAAAGGAGCTGGAGTCGAACATTTTATATTGCTATTTACATTAAAATTATTTATATTTTTATCACAATTCCTGACTTTACATTACGCGCCACTGTACGCCTGGCACAGGTACACCATACCACACCGCAATATGGATGATATGGCAGGCACTAATTCTTGTCAGCGATTTTCTCTCAGTTGATAACTTGTGGGATGCTTCAAGGAGGTGTGTCATGATCGTACGTTTATTACTTATACATTTACATACATTTTGGCGAATTATTTGAGATATTATTTAAAGATCAATGAAATTTTATATTATTAAGTAGGTGGTCCAGATATTGAATAAACTAGAATCAGTGTTTTTGGTAAAATATGAAATGTAATGCTATGATTATTATTTCTACACCGGAGACGGTTGTGTATGTGAAACTAATGTATTGTTAAGATCTGTGTGTACCATATACTGAAAAATAAGCGATGTTATTATTATGTATGTCTTTACCATTCACGGGACCACAGGGTCCCGCTCATTTGAGGCATACAGATTAAAGTTGTCTAAAGGGCCTTTGCGCAGTTGGCTTCTGCCCTTCTTATCATTATTGGTAAACCCTAATTTTCCTTACTATTTTGTTTGTTTCAGATTCGCCGCTTACTTCCAGCAAGGCGACATGGAAAGTAATGGTAAGTATGTGACTCGGTCGGGGGCCCAGGTTGACTACAGCACGGGCCCCATCGTGTGGGGGGAGCCCGGGACTAACGGACAACATGCCTTCTACCAACTCATACATCAGGGGACCAGGTTAGTTGGAAAAGATAGGCATACAAAATGCCATGATCGATATGGAATATGTATTAGACCAAGTTTTTTTAGTTCATCATCATCATTATCATCAACAGCCTATAAATTCCAAAGCCAGCAAAGCCTCTTCTCACACGGAGAAGGTTTGAGCATTAATCACCACGCTTGCTCAATGCGGGTTGGCGATTACAAACTTATAATTAGAAATTATAAGCCGAGGTTTCCTCACGATGTTTTCCTTCACCGTTTGTCAGTGGTGTCTGAAGAATCTTAGAAAGTACATATAACTCGGAAAAAGTTACATTGGTAGTTGCCGTTGGTATGTTTCAAACCCGCACCCTCATGCATGAGAAGCGGGCGTCTAAAACCTCCGGGCCATAACGATATACCAGTTTTTTAATTATATTATGAGTATTATGTACTTATTAGAGGAACCCTGTTGGGTACTTGCCGACTAGTAAAATTCAATACTTTTTTCGAACTGTCAAAAACGACAGTTTTCTATGAATTTTGTACGAAACTGTGTTTTGTGACGTAATGTTTTTTAATTTCTTAAAAAATTGCTGGAAATATACTAAAATTAAGTTGTTCATAAAATCAATTAATGAAAGTGTTATTGTGATTTTTTATTCTATTGTATTTAACAGTCGAAATAATTTATTTTTGATTAAGGCGAGTACCCAATTGCTATACACGGACAATAAATATCATCAGACTAGCTAACCAACCATGGGATAAAAGTAGCCTATATGTTATTCCAGACTATAGTCTACCTCTGTTCCAGATTTCATTCCATTCCTTTCCGCCATTTTGAAGTGATTGATTCACAAACATACACACAGACTTTCGCATATATAATACTAGCGACCCGCCCCGGCTTCGCACGAGTGCAATATGCATGTTTTATACAATACATAAACCTTCCTTAAGAATCACTCATCTATTAAAAAAACCGCATCAAAACCCGTTGCGTAGTTTTAAAGATCTAAGCATACATAGGGACAGACAGAGTGTGGATAGCGACTTTGTTTTATACTATGTAGTGATTAGTAAAATTTCCTGCTATT